TACATCTCAGCATTAAAATCTACATAAATCTTGGGCTTTTCTCTTAGTTACAAAGATGGAGAAAATAGGTGAGTCCATGAAACACTCACATTATACTGTTATGAATCCATTCTTTAATTCCCCCCTCCAACAAATAGCTTACCATAACAATAAACTTACATCATTTTACTAAATATGCAAACTGTCTCCGGCTGATATAAAAGAAGTACTTCTTAAAGATTAGAACTAATCAAAATGACTAAGAGATACTTCCTAAACAAATAAGTTACGCTTAATTTTCTATTAAGTTTCCTCTATCAAGTATCTTTAAAACTTAAATAAATGCAGAGAAAATATATCCTAAAATTGGACTCGTCAACTGCATGATAATTGTCTTTATTGCCTATTTAGAAAATTCTTTTCAAATTTACCAATTAACAAATACGATAATATTTTACAATCATTCTGTTGCTCCTGTTTAAGTATTTATTTACAACGAAATTTGTTTTTTGATTCTCCTTGGCAAAAAATTATATGACGAAGAAAATAGCTATTGTTCATGAAAGGCAGCGGCAGGAAATATTTCACAAAACCCCAAATATTACGTATAATCTATTCATTCTCTTCATTGCATATCTTAAATAAATTAAACTGTTCATTCTCTACAGCTAACTTTGCCTAGCTACAAAGAAAATTCCTCATAAAAAACAGGTAAAATCCTAAAGGAAGCTTATTAAACCTACAGCTACCATATTCTGGAGTGTAAAGCTTGCAGTGAACTCTTTGATATTGTTCCATGTGTTTGCGCATAACTTTCATAAGGTGAGCGACTAAGACTAGGGTTTGGTACAGGTTTTCTTGCAGGCCTGTGAATTGTTTTTGCTGATGGAGGTCTTTGAGCTGGAACCTAGAAATAAAAAAGAAAAACGAATCTTGTAACTCAACTATTTTCTCCACAGTTCGGAAAAAGTGAAAGCTCCTAAGGTGCAATTGTCATAGGAGTCAAACATGACATGAGAATCTCTTGGCTTTCAAGTCTCCAATTTCTTGCACAACAGAACTTATGGGGAAGGATAAGTCCTGGAAATGGCCTTCTGTATATTGGCAATCAGCTCATTAAGGTCTATTGGTGACTGTACGACAAAAATTGCAAAATTATGGCCAAGCCAGCAAATAACATGTGGCCTAACATTTCTTCTGGATGAAGCACATGACGTGAAAATGAAATGAATTTGAATGCATTCAAATCTGAACATAAGAAGAGTTGAAATAGCTTAAATAACAAATGGTAGTCATACCATCAGCCTAAACCTGCTAGGGTTAATCTACTCTTGGTAATACTAAATGTTAATTTAACAAGACTAAGAAAGATTGTTTCTTCTAACTCACCATACGTGCACTGGTTACTTGTAAAAGTCTGTCAGCACTGTTGCTACGTGTGATGATGGTGTTCTTAGGCTTTACTTGAGCAGATATTGGTCTTGTGCGACCAGCAGGGTTTGGCCTTGGTGGTGACATAACCTGTACATAGAAATGAAAGTTTCAGCATTCAGACCATTACAAGAAAATATTTAGCACATACTCAATGTGTGCCTGGTTTAGTTATTGCTTCAAAAGATGTGCAGTAGAGGTACAGTGCAGTTTTGTCATGCTATCAGTATACACTGAATCCTCGATGCTCTGTTTTGCCCCAAAAAACACTAGGCTTGTGCAAGAATGTTTCATGTTGCTCCCAAAATCCTCATAGCCATTTAAAGTCCAAGCAGGAAGCAACGAAAACCCATTTTTGGTGTTGCCCTACTGGCAAGCTGCAACTAAGATGTACTAACCTGCCAAGTCATTCTCACTAGCACCCCCCCCCCCCC